CATCAAAATTTCCCTCTTTTATTGTCTTGCTGTTTAGATGGTAAAGATCAGCCTGTGGCTTTTATGTATTGTGCCAAAACATCTACCCTGAGCCTGAAGAAGCTCTCACTCAACATTGCCACTGACTGGGAGGTCCGCATCATATGACAAAGAACTGCCCTTGGTGATGTGAGCAAGGACCTCCCTGCCCTTTTCAACCTTTCCCCTTGCCTTTTTTGAGATTTGTGCTGCAATCTGCTTGTCTTCCCTGAGTCAAAATAATCTTTCATTCATCACCATTATACTAATGAACAATAGATTTCATGTTTTAAAATTTCCGATTTTACATGTTAAGATGTAGTAGCAATATTCCTTGTGTCAAACATCGTCTTTTCTCCTGGACACATACCCCTGAGACATTTCTAGTGTTCAGGAGTCTTCTATTGCTTCCATTCCTTGAGCAGGACTGCATGGGTCTGTTTTAATGTGGGCCAAGCCTACCATTTGCCAGGGCTTGCCATGTGACATTGGCACTTTGGCTGCAGCAGCTGAGTTGCTCAAGGCCAGTCTCCAAGTGGACAGCAGCCTCTGGTACTCCCCCCAGTTATCTTTCATCTACATGGACTGGACAAAGCAGCCCTCTTGGGTTTGTACAGCATGCTCTGCAGCAGTGGGAGTTATTCTCCCCTAGAGATCAACTTGGCAGCACAAAGGATTTTTTTCCTTTTGTGCTTCTCAGGCTAATCTTAAAATCCATGTCTTTTAAGCTGTTTTTTAAGTAAGTGCTATCTACTAACCAAAGAATAGTTGTAATGTGAGTAAGCTATAATTAATAACAATGAAATAACTACCCATGTCTACTTCTACTGAACTTCAGAAGTAGAACTCATGGCTGGGACTGGGATGAGGCAAGTGAGGCCCTGGCCTTGGGTGCAAAATTTAAGGGATGCCAAAAAATACAGTAATCAAAATAAGTAATATTTCAGTGTACTATTTTTAAAAATCAGAATTAATGCAAAAAATACCCATGATGAACAAAATATCAAAATTTAAAATAAAGACAGGATTAGTATTGCTGAGTTTTCCTTTTGTTCCAGGCTTTAATATGGCTTGGCATGAGGCAAAACATTACAACATACCAGTCACATCATGATGCCCATGGATCTACAGACCCCAGTGGCTCCCTGCTGCCTGCTGTATCATCTGTTTTGGCAGCCTCAACTCTTCAGCCCTCCTTAGCACACACCTCTTCTCATCAGGCTTCCTCCACCTAGCAGCTTGCCAACGGCCCCCTCTGCACCTTCTGATCCCTGGGCAGTAATATCCCCCCCAATCCTTACCATCCTTCTAGGCCCAACTCAAATCCCACTTTCCCATGAAGCCTAACTACCCCAACACTCCTATCCCCACACCCATTAGCAGTGATTTTGCCCTTCCTTGAAATGCTGTCCCACTTATAACTGTGCTCTACTTAGCATTCTCAGGGATCATGCCTTAATGTTTCCAGTATGTCTCTGTTTTCCTACTAGATTGTTTGTTCCTCAAGAGCATGTTCTATTTCTCTTCTGTCTGACAGAGCACCATTATACCTGACTTTCAGTAACTGTTCAGCTGTGATTGCTTAGCTGGTGGATTTAATTGATTAAAAAATTATAATTGAATGTATTTCCATGTGATTTACTTTTCTGACACAAGACTCTTCCCAAAGGTAATCAATATTGTGCATTTCCTCATGGACACATTTCATTGTATGGGTTGAGATTTGAGCTCTGCACCATATGTAAGCTCACAGAGATCCACACAGATTCTTCGCTCATATTTCTGTAAGTTTTGCCATTGGGAAGAAAGGAGCAACCTTATATTAGCTGGAACCATAGTTCCTGTCTTCAGATGTCTCTTGCCAACCTAAAATAAAACTTGCCAGAAGACTGGCTGCTCCTCCCTAATATAAATGATAGTTTTTAATATCATTTAAAGTTCAGTAAGAACTATCTTTAGGTCAACATTTATAACATGTCTATTCGTCCATTTAAAATCTTGTTTGGGGAATGGAACAGTAACTAGTAGAGTAAATTAATGAGGAACTGCCCTGTTTTGACCCAACATTTGGCTACAGACAAATGGAGAGAAAGAAAGTCTGGGTGTTTTTAATGGTTTTCTGCTCTTACTGCTTCTCACACTTTACCTACCTCCCATTGCTGAATTTGTGTACTAGAGAGCAATATAGGGCTGAGTTGTCCTACAAGCATTAAATTACTTTGTTGTGGCTAATTCTTAATATGATTTCACAGGAAACCGGATTTTATATAAGGAGTTTTATTCATTTCAACATAGTTCCTAAAAAAGCTCTAAAATGAATACATAATATGTCTTTCCTTCAAGACGTAAATGTCAAGGAATGAGTTGACAAATCAGTTTAAAAACAGAAACTACCCAACAGAAAAATGTAAGTATAATCTGGCAACAATATCAAAAATCTTTTAGCCTGTTTGGGCCCAGGCTAGTCTCGAACTCCCGGGCCCAAACAATCCTCCTACCTTGGCCTCCTAAAGTGCTGGAGTTATAGGCATGAGCCACTGCTCCCAGCCTTACCTTCTCTCTTGGGACAGTTGGCAACATTGGAATAGGATCTTTTGATTACATGGTAATTTTTTACTTTTAAGCATTGTGTTAGGATCATATAGAAGAATTTTCTTTGTTTTAAGGAAAATACAATTCTGGAGTTTGGTCTGTGTGCAGAATTCCTTCACTTTGTCACATACCTTTCACTGTCAAGGCATCATAATGATAAGCAGCAGAAACACAGTCAAAGCACAAAAACATTGGGAGCTGAATGGTTTTCAGCTAATTAACCACTCTGCCTAATAAGCCTGAGTAATGAGATTCCTCTGACAATATCAAGCATTCCACTCTGCTTTTAGGATTTCCACCTGCCAAACCCTCAGAGAGCTACTCTAGACTAAAAAAACTTCTCAGGCCAGGAGATAGAAAGCCATCAGCAGCTCCACTGGAAACGGGCTATCATATTAGCCACTGACCACAGAGGCCATATAGCTAGCATTCTAGGAGAAATAACAGAGACATTGGCATCTGATATCAGATCTGCTTGTCTCATGACCAGCCTTGCTAAAGGCTCTAGTGCCACAGCAAGACTTGCCAGAATTAGACAGCTGCTGCTTTATTTTTTTCAAGACAGAGTCTCACTCTGTCACCCAGGCTGGAATGCAGTGGCATGATCTCAGCTCACTACAACTACAACCTGTACCTCCCAGGTTCAAGCGATTCTCCTGCCTCAGCCTCCCAAGTTACTGGGATTACAGGTGTGTACCACCAGGCCTGGCTCATTTGTATTTTTAGTAGAGATGGAGTTTCACCATGTTGGCCAGGCTGGTCTCAAACTGCTGACCTCATGTGATCCACCCACCTTGGCCACCCAAAGTGCAGCAGCTGCTTCTTGACAGTTGTTTCCAGCCAGGCTAGTGGTATTCGATTGCTCTCTAGTCAGAGCCAGGAGAAGGGGAGCCCAATTACTTATATGCTACGGTGATCTCATGCCTAATTCACATCAGTTGAATCTTATTCATACATTTACTTCGATGGAAATGAAGAGACCTGGAGTCTAGTTTGGTTCTACAGTGAACTAGCCAAGTGATCTTGGCCATGGAATTTAACCTCTCTGCGCTTTGTTAAAGAGATCTCCAGGCCTAGTTCAGTGGCTCACACCTGTAATCCCAAAACTTTGGGAGGCCGAGGCAGGTGGTTCACTTGAGGTCAGGAGTTTGAGACCAGCCTGGCCAAACTTTTTAGTAGAGATGACAAAACCCCATCTCTACTAAAAATACAAAATTAGCCAGGCCTGGTTGTGCCCACCTGTAATCCCAGCTACTCGGGAGGCTGAGGCAGGAGAATCACTTGAACCTGGGAGGCGGAGGTTGTAGTTGTAGTGAGCTGAGATCATACCACTGCACTTCAGCTGGCAACTGAGTGAGACTCTTGTCTAAAAAAAAGAAAAAAGAGTTAATCTCTAAAATTCTGTGAGTTTTCCAATACTTAACTGTAAAAATACAGCAGATATTTCAAGTTTCCTCAGTTGTAAAATGGAATTAGTCAAACTTGCGGAGTTGTTCTACATATTTAAAATATTTTATGTGTACAAAAAGGGAAAAACAGTAACATTACCAGGGATAAACATCACTTTAGGCAAGTAATCAAAGTTGACATACCTGTAATAAAACCTATCAATTACCTGTACCCACAAATACAGTTTGAGGAGATGGCCATGTCACATCTGTGATAGTCTTCCCTCAAATCCATAACCTCAGTCTAATCGTATGAAAAATATCAGAGAAATCCAAATTTAGGGTCATTCTACAAAACACCTGACAAGTACTCTTCAAAAGTGTCAAAGTCATGAGAGACAAAAACTATGGAATTATCAGAGACTGGAGGACACTGAGGAGTTCTATCTTTGCAATTCTTTTGTAAGTCTAAAATTATTTTAAAATAAAAAGTTTTTTGAGGGTCTCTGTGAAGTGGCTAGCTCCCAGTAGGCACTTAATTAATGAGAGGTATTATAATTATAAGCAAAGACATTGCTTCCAATGGTGTTAGAAATCCAAGAAATGCTTCTTGGTGGCAAAGACAGAGCCATTAGTTGGCAATGCTGTGCAACGGAAACCATTCTAGCCACAGAGATTACATGACCATGGGTGAAGTATGTTATAAAAACTAATTATCCTTGAAGGGGCTTCTGGGAAGTGAAATGTGCCGCTGTTTATATACTCTTTATCTGCCCTTTGTTCATGGGCTTGAGTTGGATTTCTTCCTGATAGCATTGGTTTCCACAGCTGTGCCATTGAATAAACTTTGAGTTTGGACCTGTTCATCTGAGAGAATGTTTTATCCACAACAACTGATGGAGCAAAACGAATGGCACCTTGCCCTTTCTGTGTTTGATATACCTGCCTACTCTGACAAGAGGCTCACCACTGTCACACACTGCTGTTAGTTATTCACAGACTGTTCTGGCTGAGACAGCTGAGGAAAGAAAGCTCAGTGGGTGTGTGGCCCAGAACAGCTCCTCCGCCTGGAGCAGATCAGCCAAGATTCTTTGATTGCACTGACAAAGTCAAAAGTGTAAGAAATTTCTCTTTGTGTAGGAAAATTTTATTTACCAGATATATAACACATATTTATTAAGGGCATTCTATATGCCTAAACCTGAGAGGGAAATGGGAACCCAGTTCCCAGCTTGACGGTCTTACGAGCAAACAGGAAGTTAAATAAACAGAAACAATAAAATGTGGATCGGTGCTGTGAATTTCAGGGTGGGATAGAATGCTGGTTTGGGACCCAAACTTACAACAGTCGGGGAAGGAAACCCCACCTTTGCTGTCTGTGCCATTGGTGACTTTGAAGGTGGAGGTCCATCTTTTTAGTGCAGCAAGATAGGCCAGCCTCTGACTGGAGATGCTGTATACTACATGAGCCTGGGCAGATTATACCGATTTCTGTGCTGTCCACAGAGCAGATACTCAGTTAATGCCCATTGAGTGAATGCTGATTTGTGTCAGCAAATGAATGTATCATTTAACCTGATCTAACTCCAAAGTAATATTAAATTCAGGTTTTCTCTAAAAACACCATTGATTGAGTGCCTAAGACAATCCTGGCACTATGTTAAATGCATGACATAAATTATTTAATCATTACAGAAACCTAATAACAGAATGACTGTAATTGTACCAATTTTATAGGTGAGAAATCTGAGACAGAATGGAAGAAATAACTCAGCTAAAGTTACACAGGCACAGCCAGTAAGGGGCCAACCTAGACTTTGAACCAAAGTGGTCAGCCTCCAGAGACCACTGTCCTCTATTCTGCCTCCCCAGTTAAAGAGTCCTGGGCATTTTCTTGGAGGCACAGAAGGCTAGGCTGATGGTCCTGTAAGCCCAGACATAGAGTTCTTCAGAACTGTAACCCCAGGGATCAGGAGGCTGATAGTACTCACTATTTTACCTGTCACTTCCTACTTTCTTCCATAGCCACTAACCTGGGATCATTGAGACAGGTTGCATGGGAACAGGCATGACTGCAGTCTAGGACATGCCTCCACTCTGCCATACTTTAAATGTGGTCATTTCCTTTTTGGAGCAGGTATTGTGGGTAGAAGACAAGGTGGAGGTCAGGCGGGCACTTCCCTTCCCCAGAGCCACTTATGCTTTCATCTAAGAGCTCTGAAACCAGCTTGTTAGGTGTGGCATCCCAGGACTTGACAGGCAGTCTGGTTCAGTATCCAATTCCAACTTTTGTCTCAGATACCTAATGTGGTGTGGCTGAACGAGTCAACATATAACCTGTACCTAAGTTCTCACTTAACATCGTTAATAGGTTCTTGTAAACTGTGACTTTAAGCAAAACATATTGTGTGCTATAGGGACTTAACTCTTGTTTATATCAGTTAGCTTGGTTTTGCTACACAGTACATCATTTTTGCTTAAAGCCACAGTTTACAAGAACCTATTAATGATGGTAAATGAGGATTTACTATGCCCAGGTGCACTTTTTGTAGCAGATTCAGTCCCAGTGTTTCTTTTGGGGGTGGGGAGAGACAAGAGGTGGCAAGGTCAAGTACACAGGTAGTGACAGGGAGTTTCTCAACCAGAGACTCTGATGAGTACAATTTTCCATGCAGACATTTCCAATGAACACTGACCCAAGAACATTCTAGAAAAGATGCCAAATCTAACATTGAATAATGTCCTGATATCCTAAAATTTTAGGAATGAAAATCATGTTCTCTAAAATTCACAGAATATTTTCCTAGAATTCAGTACCTCCCGTTCACCCTAACTAGCTTTTTTGTAATACTGTTTTCCATTCATTTGGTGGCCAGTAGTTGAGTGGTCTATATAACTGCCTACTCAGTAACATGTCAGCAGTTCTCAGCTAACTTCCAGGGTTCACCTTACTCAGATATTCCCTGTTCATTTTCTGACAACACTAGCAACAGAGATGTCCCTAGCCAGGTTCTGCTTTCTCTACCATACAGTCTCTCTTGCCCTCATACTAACAGTGTTTCTTCACATCTATTTTTAGTTTTCCTGGCTCAAGCTTCTTCAGGCCACTGAAACACAACCCTCACTCTCTTTCTCTCTCCCTCTGGCATGCATGCTGCTGGTAGGAGCCCCCAGGTAAACATTGCTTCAGAAATCCTTTAGCACTCCTTTCTCAGGAAAACTTATGTCTTCAGGATTACAGCTCAATTTTTAAGATGGACATAACCCTGTATGACCTTCTGATGGGCTTTCAACTTTGAATTGGATATGGACACTTTTCTCTCAGATGACAGAATTACTCCAACTTCCCCTTTGCAGTTGCTTCCTTTCCTTGAAGCTAGCTGTATCTCGTTTTCTTTAAAAAGTTTTTTCTTCCAGAGTCACTTGCCATGCCAACCGTTATTAGCCCATCTGTGGCTCCAAGGACAGCAGCTGAACCCAGGTCCCCAGGGCCAGTTCCTCACCCAGCCCAGAGCAAGGCTACTGAGGCTGGGGGTGGAAACCCAAGTGGCATCTATTCAGCCATCATCAGCCGCAATTTTCCTATTATTGGAGTGAAAGAGAAGACATTTGAGCAGCTTCACAAGAAATGTCTAGAAAAGAAAGTTCTTTATGTGGACCCTGAATTCCCACCGGATGAGACCTCTCTCTTTTATAGCCAGAAGTTCCCCATCCAGTTCATCTGGAAGAGACCTCCGGTGAGTAGCTTTCTGCTTGGTGGGTGGGTTTTCCCCACACACAGGAGTCCTCCCACTCAGCACCTCCAGCAGCTCTGCTGTGCACATGGGCACTGGGGAAAGGATCCTAGCAGCAGCTCTGCTGGGCTCTGTCCTTAAGTGTGAAGCAGGGAGTAGAGGAACAGGTCTTAGATATTTCACCAACTCTCAGCAAAATCCAAATGGAAAGCAGGGGAGGCAGAGCTGATTCTCATGCTCTGGCTCTTTCTGGAAAAAAAAAAAAATCTTGCTTTTTATAAAAGTGATTGGAACTCAACTTAATTCATCCTGTAAAAATAAATATTCCATTCTCAGAACAAATTCCAGACAGCCCAGATCTACTCATTCATTTTAAATATCTTTCATCTTTGTAAAATTACTTCAGTTTCTCTAGATAAAATCATGATGTTATTCTTCTTTAATTTACCAGTGGCTATATCTTTCTGAAACACAAAAACTCTAGAAAGAGGAGAATCACAGGCAAGGAATATTTTTTCATGCATAAAATGTTAGGGTTAGAGAGAGAGAGACCTAGCAATCACTTTTGTCCACCTACCTCACCTCATAAATGAGGAGCACACCAGAGTGAAATACATCCAGTGGGCACATGACAGAGCCCGGATTAAAACTCCTTCTCTTTTGGGAAACTCTCCCAGCCTCTGGGTTTCATTTATAGTGATCACCAGGAGGGAAATCACATTCCCCTGGCTCACCTCTGTGATCATGCCTCCAGCATGACTCTTGTTCTTAATTCAAGGAATATTTATTGAGCATCTACTAGTGCCAGCACTAGACAAGCAACTGGGGGGACAGTGGTAAGAAAGAAAGACCAATATTCCAGCTGTCTTGGAACCTAGGGTCCTAAAGGGAAGAGTGGCATTGAACAAGAGTGACACTGTCAGGAGATGATATTCTGGGTGTCATAGGATTATGCGGCAAGAAGAGCTAACCTGGTCCAGGGAGCATAACCTTCCCTGAGGAAATGATGGCAAGCTGAGACCCAGTGCTATTTATCAGCGATGTTTTTATTAACCTAAGATGGGCCAGGCGCAGTGGCTCAGACCTGTAATCCCAGCACTTTGGGAGGCCCAGGCTGGAGGATTGCTTGAGCCCAGGAGTTCGCAACCAGCCTGGACAACATGGCAAAACCCCATCTCTTTTGTACTAAAAATTCAAAAAAGTATCTAGGCATGGTGGCACATGCTGTGGTCCTACCTACTTGGGAGGCTGAGGTGGAAAGATCACCTGAACTCAGAAAGTTGAGGCAGCAGTGAGCCAAGATCACGCCACTGCACTCCAGGCTGGGTGACAGGAGTGAGACCCAGTCTCAAAAATCAACAAGAACAACAAAAGAAACCTGAAGGGAAATATTCCACAATACTGTGTGTTCCACGGGGGCTTTTCTGGGTTCTTTGCTAAGGCCCATGACTGTCCTGAAGGCCCTCAGTTTAGGAGATAACACTGCTCTGCTATCAGAGTATTTGGGCATGTCACACCCCTCTGCTGAAATAGCTTCTGTGACATCCCTCTCTCAGGCCCCACTGCCTTCAGGACAAGTCCAAACTCCTTAGCCAAGCCATAGGCCCTTTCAGCTGGTCCCTGCCTACCTGTCCAGGCCCATCTCTGCCCTCTTTCCTCAGATCCTGACACACCAGCAGTGCTTAGACATTGAGCTGTTCCAAGTCTTCTCACACCAGAGGCCTTTGCTCATGCTGTCTGTCTGTCTGGCATGCTCTTTTTGTTCTTATCTGAAACCTCTCGGGTACCACTTCCTTCAACCTTTCTCATGACTATTTCCTTCTCTCTGAAAGCAGAGACCCTTCCTGTTCATCTCTGATGCCCCTTCATCCAGCACAGGCTAGTCCCATAGTGGGTACTCAGCCAATGCTGGTGAATGAAAACCCATGCCTGAGAGCCTTGACCAGTGAGATAAGATGGTCTTGCATTCCTAGGTAGGGAGTTTCTAAAAGCCCTTTCTTAGGCCAGGCATGGTGGCTCATGCCTGTAATCCCAGCAGTTTGGGAGGCAGAGGTAGGAGCATCGCTTGAGCTAAGAAGTTGGAGACCAGCCTGGGCAACATAGTGAGACACCATCTCTATTTTAAAAGTTTTTTAAAAAAGCTCTTTCTTAGAATAGGGAGAAAACAACCTACAAATACTGTTTTTAGTGAAATCATTGGTGGACTTGAGTCTTAAAGCTATACTTACAAATTAATAAAAATGCTTTCAGGGCCTGTTATGTCCTAGGCACTAGATTGGTCTGGAAACTTATACTGTCAGTGTCTGCGTGTGAAATGAGGGGTGCAGAAGACCTGTCTATTCTGAATTGTGCCTCCACCACCACCATCACCAACAACAAAGATCCTGGATTTCTACTGTTTGAGTCACTAAAGGATCAGATAGCAAAGGCCACTCTTGAATGAAATGCCCACACGTTTCCCTGGGGTTAAGATCACAGGAACACTGTCCAGTGGGTTCACTACCATAAATGAGAAATAAAGAATTAGAGATTATCAGAGTTGGAATGAATCTTGGAGAGGCAGTCCAGTGCCCTTGCTTTACAGGTGAAGTGATTAAGGCCCAGAAAGGGCAAATGACTTATCTAAAGCCACACATGTTGACTTGAAACTGAAAAACTGAAATGACTCCGGAACTTTCTGACTGTAAAGCACTTCTTGGAGACATCAGTTCTCCAGGAATTTCCTCAGTTGTAGTGACCTTTGCCAACGCTGAGCAGTCTGAAAAGACTATGACCTGTCAGGAAGAGCACCAGATAGGTGAGTAAAGGCCTTCCTGCTTTTACTGTCTAAGGCATAGAAACTTTGGAAACCAATCTGAATTTTTTTTAACCATAACTATTATTTATTATGATTATAGTAATTATAATAATGATACAGGAAGAATCATTCCTGGATAACTATAATTCTGGTTCAAATAGCATGTTGCACTTTCAGCCTTTCCCTCTTAACAAAAAAGAGGCTCTGGCCAACTGTTCCCAGCCCTGTAATCTCTTCTCTCACTTACCACTGCTACCTCACAGCCTTTCTTCCTCTATTTGGGAGCATCATGCATTGAGTTTCCAGTTCAAACAATGTGATTCCTCTAGCCTTTCCTTATGTGATCTATTTCTAGAGTCAGAAAGCAAACAAATTATTCAATTTTTTTTCTCTCTCCCCCTTCCCTTCTATTCAATACTTCCCAACTGTTAAGGCAAGTTTCTTTGATGACAGATCCCAGGGCAGAAGAGAATGGCTTCTAGAACAGAGCTTCTGGGATGCTGGTGCCCAATACACTAAGGATAGGTTGGGGATAGGACGGCAGGTCATGTTTCAATCCGTGGGGTGGAAGGCTCAGTTGCACCACACTCCAGGCCTCTCTCCTTCCCTTGGTAGGTTTGTAAAGAGAACTTGACCTGTAAACTCCAGTTCTTGGCTTCCATCTTTGGGAAGCAAGCTACCTGCAAGAAGCATGGCCTCTGCTCTCTGCTCCTCCTTTCAGCAAGTTTTCATGAGTCAGGTCCCCATGGGGAGTCATGCAGGAGTCCCTGGGCCACCTGGGAATACGTGGTTAATAGTAAAGATAGTCGATAATCTTGAGTGAGAACTCACCGCATGCCAGTAACTAGTCTAAGTGTTTCCCATGTGTTAATTCATTTAATCTTCACAACAATCCTGGGAGGAAGTACAATTATTATCCTACTTTACAAAGGAGGGAACTGAGTCTCAGAAAGATTAAATAACTCGCTCCAGATCTCCCAGTCGGTGAAGGTTGGAGCTGGGATTTAAACCCACACAGCCTGGATCTAGAGCCCCAAATCTATGTGATTCTGAGATTTAGATGTTAATATCTGTTTTTATTAATAAATATGGCATTTTGAACTCCCACCTGCCCTGCACTTTGGTAGTATTCCTTTACTGGCTCAAAACTCAGGCATGGAAATGAGGTGTCATTTGAGACTCCTCAAGACACAACAGGTATTGAGTGACACCCCAGGGTATGCCCCTGAAAGCAGCAGCCTCTGTAAGTTGGAGATGGAATGGCACAGTAGCTGAGAGCCCAGGCTCTGAGGTCAGGCAACCCATGATCAAGTCTTAGCCTGCTACCTAACACTTACGTAATCTTGGTCACATACTTACCCTCATTTTGCCACAGGTTCTCCATGTGAAAATTGGAGAACAACGATAATAGAAGAACCCATCTCATAATTAATTGAGGATTAAATGAGTTAATGCAGGCTAAAAGCTTAAGACCAGCACATGGGTGAGTGCTCAGTCAACACAGACTACTCTTATTACTGCCTATAAGCAGCTGTGCAGTCTCTTTAAAGCAGCAGTATCATAAACATTTTTCCAGCTCAATTTGTACTTATGACCAGTCAATATATTTACCATGGTAATGATTTGGGTACCTCATTCCTGGTCTAAATGCATCTGTCCATCTCAGCATGAGGACATATGTGCGAATGCTCCCCTCATGGGCAGGGGACTGCTTGTCCTTTAGGGCAATTCCAGTTATTTACATCAAATATAAAATGTATGTTTGGTTGTGAAAATGTGGGTGTATCATAGACCCAGGAAAGTGACTACAAAAGAGGGATCACACTTGGCTGGGAAACTTGGCAACTTGCTCAATGACTGGCTATAAAGACCAGGGCTTCCTCTTTCCCATCTCCATGTGCCTCAGTCATGCCAGGTGGAGAGTTCTTAAGCTATTTATCTCTGCTCTCCTGCAATCCCAAAATCAGGGGAAACCTAGATCCCTGCTGCTTTTGGAGGGATGAGAAGTGAAAAGCTAGTATCAGGACCTTGTGATGAAAAGGTATCTGGTCCCCTCCTCACCCTTGGTAATGTGGGAACCCAGAATTGCTCCACAGTGCCCTGCCCTGCACAATCAACTCAGCTGGCCAGGGCCTCCAGCAGTGGACACTGACAACAATGAGGTTCCTGGGCCTCCCCCTGTCTCTGGTGCTAGCTAGGTGGTGTC